CTGTCCCAGGGTGCTCCAAACCCCATCCAGCCTGGCCTTGGGCACTGCCAGGGGTATCACAGCTTCTCTGGGCTTCCTCACCCTCCCAGGGAACAATTCCCTCCCAATGTCCCACCTAGGCCTGGCTTTGTCAGTCTGAGCTCACTCCCTGCCCTGTTTTGGGATCCCGGAGCTGTCTCAGCCCCCCGGGACATTCTCTCACCGATGGGGGTGCCCACGCCGTAGCCCTTGGAGTCGATGAGGCCGCCGATCTGGGTGAGGTTGCAGTTCCTCTGGGTCACGTACTCGATGCTGGTGGATTCCATCAGGAGGGCGTAGTCGGTGGTCAGCACTCTCTGGATCCCCTCGTCGTTGTTCTTCACCAGCGCYGTCTGCTGCCGGCTGCTCATGAACGCCCACATCTTCTCGTAGGTGGAGATTTTGGATTTCTGCGGGGGCACAGAGGGGATCGGGGTCACAGCAGCACCCACAGAGCCCTTCCAGATGCTCCCCAGCCCCAAATACAGCACCACACCCCAGAGACAGGGATGGGAGCAGGGCTTTCCTTCCCACAGCATTTATCTCATGCTGAGGAATCTCATTTTCCAGGGGCTTCCTGCTGCTGCTGCGAGCACAAAGTCCTAAATCAAAGCTCTTTAGGGTCTGCTTTGTGTCAGGATGTCCCCAGCAATGCCTTTCCCCCCGTGTGTCCCTTGCAGCCCTGAAATCCAGAGCGATCTGGGCTTTGCCCCTCATGTCCTTCATGTCCCTGCCTTCCTCCTCTCCCCTCGAGGAACACCCAGCACATTGTGGCTGCCTTTAAAAAATGTTGCTCTGGAAAAAATCTTTGTTTTTCTCAGYGTTCCTGGGCTCTGGCACGGTTTGATCTGACAAATCCCATCTTACAGATATCGTCCCTTCTTCCCCGGTGTCTGCAGGGTCCCAATCCTCCCTCCCTCCATCCCTCCGTCCCTGGGGGTGTTCACTGCTGCCATCGCCACTTTCCCTCCTCTGTTCCCGCTTTCCCTCCCCCTGTTCCCCCATTTCCCTCCCCCTGTTCCCCCATTTCCCTCCCCCTATTCCCTCTTTCGCCTCTCTATTCCCCCTTTTTCAGCACTCCCGGGCCGGGACAGCTCCAGGAAAGAGCCCGAACATCCCGAGGAGGGAGCAAACCCCGAGCCTTCCTCTGCAGCAGAATTATCCATTTTTGTTCACAAACCCGCTCCAGGGTTTTTTATTTCAAACTTTGGACAGGACAAAGAACCCCTAATCTCCCTCCTAATCTGCAGAGCCTCCCACAATAAACCCATAACCCTTTTTATGAAACCCTGTGAGTGTTTCCAATGTCACAAACTCAATTTTCCATGGATTTTCACCTCCCCTCTGCCAGGGAATCCATCCCCAGTTCCTGTGCTGCCCTTCCCCGGTGTTTGTGCATTCCAGGCACAAGTGAACTGGCACATGGAGTGGGTAATAAATATTTAACCACCTTGTCTGAAATTTCTCCTTTAGAGGCTTACATGCTTTTAAGCCTACATATTTCTGCCTGAGGGATGAATGGTGAAAAAAAAAAATAAAAAAAAAATTAAAAATCTGTGTAGAACTGAAAGCAGTTCTAGGAAATTTGTTCTGAACTCCAGGATCTATTTCCTCTAAAAACACAGGGATGTAACAGGTTTTGAAGTTTTGTCTCTGCAGCTGAATTTGGCTGCCAATATCAATGGCAGTGAGCACCTCTGGGTGTGGAAAAGCCACAGGAGAATCCAGAGTTTCCCCACTCCTCCAATCCCTCGGGATGCTGTGGCTCTGTTTTTGGGTGGATTTTGAGTTTTCCCTGTGCTCCAATCCCTCGGGATGCTGTGGGTCTGGTTTGGGGTGGATTATGTATTTCCCTACTCCAATCCCTCTGTGCTCCAATCCCTTGGGATGCTGTGGCTCTGTTTTTGGGTGAATTGTGTATTTTCCCACTCCTCCAATCCTCAGGATGCTGTGGCTCTGGTTTTTGGGGTCAGTTATCAGTTTCCCTACTCCAATCCCTCGGGATGCTGTGGTTCTGGTTTTGGGTGGATTTTGAGTTTTCCCCACCCCTCCAATCCCTCAGGATGGCTCTGGTTTGGGGTGAATTATGTATTTCCCTGCTCCAATCCCTCTGTGCTCCAATCCCTCAAAATGCTGTGGCTCTGGTTTTGGGTGAATTATGTATTTCCTCACTCCTCCAATCCCTCGGGATGCTCTGGTTTTGGGTGAATTATGATTTTCCCCACCCCTCCAATCCCTCGGGATGCTGTGGCTCAGGTTTGGGGTGAATTATGTATTTCCCTACTCCAATCCCTCTGTGCTCCAGTCCCTCGGGATGCTGTGGCTCTGCTTTTGGGGTGGATTATGAGTTTCCTATTCCTGCAGTCCCTCGGGATGCTTTGGTTTTGGGTGGATTTTGAGTTTTCCCTGTGCTCCAATCCCTCGGGATGCTGTGGCTCTGGTTTTTGGGTGAATTACATATTTCCCCACTCCTGCAATCCCTCAGGATGCTCTGGTTTGGGGTGGATTTTGAATTTCCCCACCTCTCTAATCCCTCGGGATGCTGTGGCTCTGGTTTGGGGTGGATTTTGAGTCTCCCCTGTGCTCCAGTCCCTTGAGATGCTCTGGTTTTGGCGTGAATTATGAGTTTCCTATTCCTCCAATCCCTCGGGCTGCTCTGTTTTTGGGTGGATTTTGAGTTTC